AGAAGAAGAAGAAGAAGAAGAAGAAGAAGAAGAAGAAGAAGAAGAAGAAGAAGAAGAAGAGGAGGAGGAGGAGGAGGAGGAGGAAGGGAGGAGGAGGAGGAGGAAGAGGAGGAGAAGAGAAGAGGAGGAGGAGGAGGAGGAGGAGCTATGTCTCAATTATCTTTAGAATACTGGCGATCAAAAGAAAGAAATACCAAACTTTGGAATAAGAAAAGGAAAAGAAATCAGAAGTGACATGTTTAACAAATTAGACTGTTAACTCACTGAAAAGAAATAGTTAACAAAGAAACAGCATTTCTTTCCCGATATGCTCTTAATTGCATTGATGCAGCCCATTCGCCTGTAGATAAATGGAGATTTAGTACATATTATCTTTTGGAGCTGCACTTTAAGATGTCACTGTCAGTGTATTACACAGCTATTACTCACAGAAAGATATCCAAGGTATAGACAGAAATAATGGTGACAAAGCATGTAAAGTGAATTGATTTGAAATTCTGTCACCCACCTGTTATGCTTATCTAAACTTAATTATGTATTGTCTTACATAGGTAAAAGAGAAATAGAGTGCTTCAGTACCACTTCATCCATTAATATATTAATAGCAAACAGTATCTGTAGTGTTTTTTGAATATAGGATCTTCAATTTTAAAAGCACTGAGTTTATGTACTTTATAGGAAAAAAGATTGTCTAAGCAGAGCAATTTCTTTGTGAATGCTGATTAATTGCCTTTTGTTTACTTAATATTACTGCTTTTCTAGGAATACCACATCATAGCACTAGTGGCCTTTTCTTCCAAGGACAATGCTTCCTTCAGCAAATCCATTACAAAAGACTCAAAATCCTGTGGGTGAGGTTATGTAACTCAAAGAAAGGAAACTGCATCTCCTTCAAATATTTAATATTTAATGTAAGATTAGAAACAATTAAAACCGATTATTCAACACAGGTGTCTTCATTTTCCATTAAATGTCCTATTTCTCACTTTCTTAAAAAAAATCAGAAATGTAAGGTATGGCTGCAAACCAATTGCTATATCTTGAATTGTCTATTTTTCCCTTTATTATTATTACTTTCTAAAGAGGCTATCAAAGGGTCTTAGTGTTGTGTAATGTAAGTCATTTATAAATTAAATCTGTTAATAATGTATGGTGAACCACTGAATTATGTCTGTCGACCTCCTTTTTACCCCTAAATGTGAGCTGCACTTGATAGACACAATTGTGAAATAGTGGCAACATCTTCTAAACATGTATGGTGCACAAGCAGGATCTGAGGCTTTAGTGTTTGACACTAGAATCATAAAGCCCAAATCTTTTTATAAAGAATACAGGTTTATGCACAAATAAAAATATAATGCTATAACCAAATAGAAAGCAAAGATGGTTTAGGGGAATAAGCATACAACAAAAGTGATGGAAGATGCTGAGAGTGTGTATGGATTTAAGGAGTACTGACATCACATTTTCTTCCAGGGGCCTGTTTGTTACAAATATGACTTCATTCAACTCTCATTAACATCTCTATAGTAGGCCAAGAGTGCTTCTCAAGAGTACAGTGCTTGCTCAGTATGTCCAAAGCCCTGGGTTTGATTCCAAGTATTGTGAAAACAAAGCATCTTTTGTAATGGTAGATTCTATAACTACCATTGGTTTGTCTCCTCTAAAACTCGGGTTGAAATTTGAATGCCTTGTGCTGGCTATTAGAAGGTGAGGCCTATAAAAGATGATTTGATCTGTAAGAAGGATTAATATTCCTTGCAGTGTATTCTTGGTCTCCAAAGATTGGATTCGTTCTAAAAGACTAGCTTATCATCAAATGAGGCTGCCTTGTGAACTTGGCTTTTTCACACATGCCCACTTGCACGGCTGTTCTCCATCTTACACCACAGCGGGCAGCACTCATTAGGTGCCAGTGCCAATGCCATTCTCTTCAGCCTCCCAGCCTCCAGAACCGTTATCTAAATGAATCCCTTTCCTTTGTAAATTAGCCAATCTCAGATATTCTTATAGCAACACAAAACAGACGAAGAAAATCACCACCACTCCATTTTATCAAGGGAAGAAAACCACAGAAAATAAACTATTGTTTCTAATGCATTTATAATGTACCAAGTGATTTTTTTTTGTTTCTTTGTATGTTCCTCCCCCATGGTCTAACCCCTGTTTTCACTGTATTTGATGTCGGTGCCCTGCATCTTGTATATACACTCTCTACTTTGGGGAGGGGAGGGAAAAAAAAAACAATATGCTTAAATAGGGATACAGGTTGACCCATTGCAACAATGAGATGTACAAGGCACTATATTGAAAATGAACTTTACAACTTTCGCTGGGGGTGGGGTGTATGTAGTTGTGGAGGTGGGAGGGAAGGGATGGTAGGGGGAAAACAAAGGAGGAGGCAACAATGCTTGATAGGACGTGTACTCATTACCTTGCTCATGTAACTGTAATACTTCCATACAGTATTTTTACAATTAAAAGAAAGTACAAAAAAAAAAGAAAGTAACCTTCCCAGGGTCACATGACCAAGTGAGAGCCAGGCTTTGGACATCTATTCTGTCCCTTCAGCTCCTCGCTATGTACCTTATTCCATAGAGAGAATATCAAAGAAGATTAAGCTGGGAAGAATTCATAAAGAACATGTTCATCTGAAGCATGGACAAATGACAAAATTCTCTGTAGAAACAACAACAAGAAGACGTACACACAATAACAACAACAACAAACAGAAAAAATGGAGAAAATGCAACCCAAGACATACCAGTGACCCAGGAAGATTATGCCAAATGCTAACAGCATGTCTGCAGTGAGTAAACATTCTTACTACCAGCTCCTGGGAAAACTAGCTGGGCACAGCCTCAGCCATAATGAGACTAGCTACTCATCATGCAAGGCCATTACAATACTCTGCAAAGTTCCTACAGTATACAGTAAGCGTGTGCTGCCTTGAACTGAATTTGTATTGAGGCAGGAAGTGACGGGAATGTAGATAGGCTTGTAACATCCAGAGCCTGCTTAGTGAAAGAAAAAAGTGTGCTTTGTTATGTTCATGAGCATTATTTTCCCATGATGCTTGTCAGAAAACTGTTTTCTTAAAATTTAAAAATAATTAAGGATGCTTTCTACTACAGAAAGCCTGGCCACCTCCATCAGTCACAATTTCAATGTCTGTAATAAGGACCAAGAGAGTTGTGAAAACTGGAAGAATGCAGATGTTCCAAGGTATCTCAGTTCCCAAGGTACCTCAGTGTCTGCTGAAGCCATTCCTAAGTCCAGCTTCCAAAGCCCTTCAGCTAGGCTCATACACATTGCTAATATTGTCACTGCCTCTTTCATTCTTTCCTCCCAAACTTCTGCCCATGCTCAGCTCCATTCCATTGCTTGAGCCATGCAAGGGTCTTTGTCCCATCTATTCTTTCTCTTCTAGGCCTTTGACCTGATGTCTCCTTCTTTGTAAGTTCCATCTCAGCACATTTAACCATGAGTAGATTGTCTTTAATTCAAATGTAAAACAAAACATTTTTTAACCTCACCTGCTTTCCTACTATTTTCCTACACAGTAAACTTCTTCAGAATCTCATCTGCATTCCCATCACTACCTCTTCTCTGGGTGTTTCCTCAAAATTCCATTGCAATCAGTCTCTCATCACCTTGTTTTAGTGAACTTCTCACCATATTCACTAGAGGCCTGCCTCCTGCTAGGTCACGCAGTCCTGGCCTTGCATAGTTGGCCACTTTGCAGCACTTGCCCTCTCCACTGTCCCTAACCATGGGCTCTCCTAATTTCCTCCTCCTTCTCCATCTTGGGTCCTCTTATTGGTTCCCTTCTGACCCTTCTCAAAAAATGGTTCTATCTAGGTTCTATCTTCCAACTCTTCCCTTCTCATGGAAGGCATTCTTTATCTATGCCCATGTTTTCAACAGTTACTTAGATAGTCCTGATTCCAAAGCCAACACCTTTAACCAAAATCTCTGGACTGATCTCTTTGTTAAATTGTCCCATGAGTATTGCTAGTGGCACTTTTTTTTTTTTTTGGTGGGGGGAGATCCTGGGTTTGAATTCAGGGTCTGGGCATTGTCCCTGAGCCTTTTGTGCTCAAGTTAACACTCTACCACTTGAGCCACAGCACCAATTCTGGCTTTTTCTAAGTAGTTTATTAAAGGAGATAAGAGTCTCTGGAACTTTCCTGCCCAGGCTGGCTTTGAACTGCAATCCTGGGATCTCAGCCTCCTGAGTATCTAGGACTACAAGTGTGAGCCACCAGCACCTGCCTAAAGCAATCTTACTAGGATTTAAAATCCAACACTATTTTATTTGAAATACCATTGTCAATTTTCAACAGACTCCAACTTCATATACCTCAGACATCACCTAATAACCCAATTACTAGTAATAAATTTTTAAACCCAATTACAATACTCAAGCTATTACACTTTACAGTGGAAATGCATTTATTAGAAAATGTCAAAAAGTAACATTTCATTCTAATTCTCACTACACCTGCAAAGGTACTTTGTCTGTGTCTGCAATGTTCCCAGAGGCTTGTACTTTCTGAATTGCAATTGTCTAACTCAAACATCAGTCCTTTTATTAGATATAGGAGAAGGCATTTAGTGTAGAGGAAAGAGAATGACAATTGGTCCAAGTCTTGGCCATTACTAAGTAACCTTGGGGTGACTTATTTAATACCTCTTGATTATGCAGCTGAAAAACAAACCTAGCAATACCTACCTGTGATGGATTAAATATGATATGGCATGTGCTATATTTACCACATGTGCCACATATGCAGTATTCATAAGACATTATCAACAGTATTCTCATTACCCCCTGTAGAGTGCAGAAAAGTGCATCCTGTGTTAACCCTACTGAGGAGATAATGCAAGGGATATAAAACTATCCAACCACACAAACCTTTATATCATCAAAGCACCCTGAGAGGAGTGAATTTTGATGAGCTAAACAAATAGTAAAAAGAAGTAAAACAGATAATAGAATTTTACCAAAAGCATTTCCCCTCGAAAGGAGCAATTTCCCCTCTCTTCAACTACATGAAGATAAGGAGGGCTGCCCACTCTGAAAACAAGAAGCTTTGTAAAACTATACACTCATGCTGTTCCCACAAGTACTTCCTTGTTTATGTAAGCTTTGTAAGTTACTCCAAGACCATCACAAACCGATTCAACTCACTTGTTGCTCAAGAGAGTTACACAAAGAACTACTCTTGTGCACACTCTCCACGAACCACATATAGGTACTTCTGGTGCTAATTAAAGGTGACTTGAATTTTGGGATGGCTCTCCTGCTCCTCCAGGGCTACAGGCAGCCCAATACTCACCAAGTTATTTTAAAGGATAGTCCAGGCAATTGGATTTTGACACACTCATGACCTGAAACACTGAGTACTGTTCCTTTCTAATGCTATGACAAGTTAAAGTATTATTTTCCTTGACTGAGGTAGAATTTGTACCAAAACAGCGTGGGTTAAGGAAAGGTCAACTAGGAACAGGAAAAGGCATCAGTGGGTGTGAACCAGAAAAGGCCCAACAATTCAGATAGGAAATTTTACCTATGTTGATGTGGCAATACACTTTATTTCAGTACAGCACATGTTGATATAGGGGAAACTTTTTTAAAACAAGAGCTTGCATCTTGGACATAATCCAAAATGAATCATCATGAATGACGAAAGTTTCAAAGAATTCAGAGGAGAGATATGAAGTTGGCATCAGGCAAGGAAGTCTGCACCATGCCCCACCCTGGGCGTGTCTCTCGGGTCAGCCCAGTTCTCATCCTGCTGGTTTATCCAGTCACAAGTGTCTAACTACACAAGCTGCAATACCCAATGCCTTCATCATCTTAGCCACCCAAATCACTCATCAAATCTGCATGAATATGAATGCTAGAAATGAAAATATAGTTGTGCACACTGTCAAGATAACAGTTAACAATGGACAGGGTAGCTATGACCATGTCCTTGGAAAACTATAGAGCTCAGGTATTTCTATCCCATCCTAGCTATCATAACATCCTAGAAACATACTTGCCCTCACATTTCTGTTAGTGCTGCTGTAAACACAGTACTAGGCCAGCTGTCACATAAAACTATACAGCACATAGCACTTGGTAAGGATAAAAATGCATTATTGATTTACATATTTACTATTCTAAGCTACTTATTGTTTCTGTTTATTATAAGGCAGGGCTCTGTTATACCAGCAGCCAGCAGCCTCAAACATCTAGTGCTATGTCTTTTTTTTCTTGCTCTTTTGTTCTTTTTTGTTTTTCTGTGTCTCTTGACTGTATGAGGAGGCAGTGTTGAGTCGCTGACCTCAGCTGTCATAGTGTGAGTACATTTCAGGAGCTGATACACTAACAGAATGCCCTACTAATGCACTTCTCAGAATATGCCCTTTTCATTAAGCAAGATACAGCTGTTTTGTTTCCTAAACAATTATTACAAATGGTGGATGTTTTAGATAAATTCAAATGTAAATATAATGCCAAGTTGCTTATAAATATATCTGTTTAGGAAATCAACATTTTGTAGATATCAAGCAGATTTTAGGAGGAGTTTATTGTTGGGTATAGCCTAATACATTTCAAGATTGATTTCTGATGTGAGTAAAGACAATATATGCTTCTATTGGAGTTACAATTGGAACAAGAAAAGCAGAACACAAAGTAACACAACCTGAGATCAGGTAGAATCCTGATGATTAAGCATACTGGGGAGCATTATATGGTCCTGTAATACCTCCGTGTGCTGGTGAGAGGATGCCAAATTAAAATTGCAACTGTCATCCCATGACACTGGAGAAAGGGAAGATAATGTGTGTTTCTGCAGTAACATTTTTCCTGTAGTGAGATTTATTTTTTAAAAAATGAATAAATATTAGCAGCTGCAGTAAATCTCAGTCTGTTACCTCTCTTTGCACTTCACAGATTTATAGTTCTTGCCCTTTCCTGAGTATTTCTACAGAATGAATAGTACCTGTAAAATTCAAAACATTTCAAATGATATATCACAATTTCCACCAAAAGAGTAGAAAATTCTCTGACATTCCTTTAGAACTGCACAATTCCTAAGCTGCCAAGGATCATATCCTAGAGGAGCCAACATTCCTTTGATCCTGATCTCTAACAAACTCCTGGAGGACCACTGGGCACGGCGGCGCCTGCTCGTCACATGCTTCCTTCTTTGGCATGGCCATTGGCCCATATAATATCATCTGAACAATCACACATGGATTTTAGCAACCTGAAATGCCTCCCTTCTCTTCATCAAAGCAACTGACATATTTCACTAAAACGAAAGTATTACAGAAAAAATGATGTTTATATATTTTTTCACTGATGTATTCTCTGTACCTGAAACTATCTGGAACACACAAACATCCCAGAAGCAGCCAGGTATTATACCTCACACCTGTAATCCCAGCTATCCAGGAGAGAGATAGAAAGGATCATAGTTTAAGGCCAGTCCAGGTAAGAAGTGAGAGATAGGCTTAGTGGCCAATTGCTGAAGTCCTAGCTATGTTAGAAAGTGTAGGTAGGATGACTGCAGCTCAAGGCCAGCTAGGCAGAAAAATCAGATCCTGTCTGAACAAAAAAACAAATTACTCAAAAAATAAGTCTATTCATGTTTATATATATGTAGCATGTTACCATATATATAGCTATAATTATAGATATATATACACACATGCATGGATATACACATAAACACCATGAAATTACTATAAAAGTACTATGGAGAGAAACAAATCAGATAACAGGACACAGACTCCAAGCAGGTTTAGGAAAATCAAGGATTTATCTCACGGATTATGTGATGTTTGACTACAGACCCAGAGATGCTGAAGGAGCAAGCGTTCTAGGAAGGGTAGTCTGCAAGGCCCAACTCCCTAGGTGAGAAACTGTCACTATCAGCTTTGTATCTCAGCACATGAAACACTGCATGAATCTTTTCCATCTCCTTTATCATTCACTTTTCCATATTTATTTAAAGCCCACTACATACTTGGAAATTATATTCTATTAGAAGTCACACTAAACTGCTTGGGTTTTTTTCTTTTCTTTTCTTTTTATCGGTCATGGGGCTTGAACTCTGGGCCTGGGCCCTGTCCCTAAGCTCTTCAGCTCAAGCCAAGTGCTCTACCACTTGAGCTACAGCACCACTTCCGGTTTTCTGGTGGTTAAAGTCCGTAAGATAAGTCTCATGGACTTTCCTGCCTGGGCTGGCTTTGAACTGCAATCCTCAGATCTCAGCCTCCTGAGTAGCTAGGATTCGAGGCATGAGCCACCGGTACCCAGCTACACTAAACTTCTAAACACAAAAATTTCTCGATTTTCCGGGAGTTTTAAATTTGTCCCAACCACTCACAGCTTCAACAGGATTGCATTTGAACTTTGACAACTTTTTTCCAGTTCCCTTGGCCTCCCTGGCACCTCCATGTCATTTGACAACACAACATCTCCCAAGCCCCACACATGAAATATGAATTTATGGGGCTAGAAACATGTCTCCAGCAGTACAGTGATTGCCTAGCAAGTGCAAGGCTCTGAGTTTAACCTCCCACCTTTCCACCCTGTAAAGAAAATCTCGGGGCTGGGAAGGTGGCTCAGTGGTAGAGCGCTTGCCTTGCATGCTCAAGACCCTGGGTTCGATTCCTCAGCACCACATAAGCAAACAGAAAAAAGCCGGAAGTGGCGCTGTGGCTCAAGTGGTAGAGCGCTAGCCTTGAGCTGAAGAGCTGAGGGACAGCGCCCAGGCCCAGAGTTCAGGCCCCACGACCGGACCCAAAAAAAAAAAAAGAAAAGAAAATCTCAATGTAATACGTGTATCAACCTGAAAACAATTTATTGTACTTTGTCAGCTCAGTTTTATTCCTTCCACTTTCTCACAGCCTCATAAGCAAAGCTGAAGAGCAGTCCTCAGCCATTCTACCCAATCTCTGCCTCCTACAATGACTCAATATTCATTCGGTAACACAATCTGGGATCTAAACACTTCTGAAATCAAAGCCCAACAAAAAAGTGTGATTTTTTTTCCTATATAAAGTCCAAATTTAACTGGAAACAGGAAGCAAGTGGCTATTTCTGTAAAAAGCCTTTAAACTTATCCCAGATCAGTAAAGCAGTGGGTAGGGGAGGGATGGATGAATGTTGAAAGGGGTGACACTGATTAAGACATATTGTATTCATAAACTGCTTTGTCCAATGGCAAATAAAACTGTTCATTGTTCTGCACAAAACTAGTTTTCACACCAATGTCAAATTAAGTCTTTATTAAGACTTAGGTATATTTTGATGTAAAAAACACATGTAATTTGATGTGTCTTCAATAGTTGTTATTTTCTGTTTTTTAATTTATAAAAATATAGAAAGTTATAAGAGCTACCCCACCTAGGCACACTGGCAGATGTGCAAAGGATATGACAAAGGAGAGATTTGGTGCACAGAACCTAAAACTGGCAATCTGTAGAAATTTTAGAGAGCAACACTATCAAGGCATAGCTCCTCAGAAATACAGCATCTGTGGGACAGTGCCTAGGAAACCTGAGCAGAAACGAACACTTGGCCTGTGAAGATCAACAAACTAAAACCACTGGGCAGAAAAAGGGAAAGGAAATCCCACAGCTGGGCTTTCCCCTTGACAATTCAAATGAATTCTAACTATAAACTAAAATCTAGTAATTCACAGTTTTTGTTGGAGATTGTTGTTCTTCTGTTGGATAGAGATTAGCATGGCTCTAATTTCAAGACTCAGATTATGTAAGATTTCAAACATTTTTATCTCTTTACCTATAGCTAACGACATCTTTATC